TCATCATCGGCATCATCAGCAGCATCAGCAGCAGCCGCATCATCATCATCATCACCACCACCATCATCATCATCAGCATCACCACCACCACCATCATCACCATCCTCATCATCATCATAATCAGCATAATCATCATCATCATCAGCAGCAGCATCATCGTCATCATCATCATCATCACCATCATCATCATCATCGTCGTCGTCATCGTCATCATCATCGTCATCATCATCATCAGCATCATCATCAACAACAAGACCATCATCAGCATCATCATCAGCATAATCATTATCATCATCATCAGCATCATCTTCATACTCGTATTCATTTTCATCTTCATATTCATGTCCATCATCGCCACCACCGCATCATCATCCTCCTCCTCATCATCAGCAGCGCCATCATCATCGTCATCATCTTCATCACCATCACCATCACCATCACCATCAGCACCAGCATCATCATCCTCCTCATCATCATCACCAGCAGCATCATCAGCATCATCGTCATCATGATCCGTAGCTTCATCTTCGTCATAATCATCAGCATCAGCATAATCATCACCACCATCGTCATCATCATCAGCATCATGATCATCATCATCTGCATCATCATCATCATCATCATCATCATCATCATCATCATCATCATCATCATCATCTTCATCTTCATCATCATCATCATCATCATCATCATCGTCATGAGCAGCGTCATCATCAGCAGCGTCATCATCATCATCATCATCATCATCATCCCCCTCCTCCCCCTCCTCCCTCTCCGCCACATCCTCCTCCTCCTTATCATCATCAGCAGCAGCAGCATCGTCATCATCATCATCACCACCACCACCATCATCATCATCATCATCATCGTCATCATCATCATCATCATCATCCTCATACTCATCATCAGCATCATCACAGCAGCAGCACCATCATGATCAGTATCAGCAGCAGCGGCAGCCGCATCATCATCATCATCATCAGCATCATCAGCATCATCATCATCTTCACCATCAGCAGCAGCAGCAGCGTCATCATCATCATCATCAGCGTCATCATCATCATCCACATCATCATCAACATCATCATCATCAACATCCATCTCCTTGTCCTTAATAACTCCCACTTGTCGCACCCAGGTCGAATGGGTGGGTCGGGCGTTTCGCCTGAGGCTTCCTCATCACTTATGACCCTGAAGCTTAAAAATTGGCGACAGCTTCACAGATGGAGGTCGGGTGGTTTTCAAAATGTGGCTTTCGTCTGAGCGCCGCGCACGTTCATTGTAACAGTTTGCAAGAAGTTTCGGAAATTGAGGGCGGGTGGTTTTCAAAATGTGGCTCTCGCCTTAGCGCCGCGCACATGTTTAAAATGCGCAAGAATTTCACGGATTGAGGGCGGGACGTTTTCAACGGCCCTCGCCTTAGCGCCGCGCATCTTCTTTCTCTTAAATGTGCAAGAAACTCACGGATGGAAGGCGGGTCGCTTTTTTAATGTGGCTCTCGCCTTAGCGCCGCGCATTCGTCTTTTGATTGAAGTTGCAAGTGATTCACGGATTGATGGCGGTTGGTTTTCAAAATGTTGATCTCGCATTAGCGCCGCGCACATTGCAAAAATGCGCGACCGTTTTACGGATTCCAATGGTCGCCGTACCAGAAATTGTGTTATGGAAGGATTCTGGACTGAGGATGCAACAGTTACGTTGATTCGCGGTGATGAAGTCCCAGGAATGGTCTTCTGGCACGATTCAGGATCGCCAAGACGCAACTGTCATGTTGATTCGTGACGTTGGAGTCCCGAGACTGGTGTTTTGGCATGCTTCAGGGTCTTCAGACGGTTGTATCCCAACGAGGCGGATCCCTCAGTGGAAATGAACCCTTGTATGGGGCCTATGAAGAGGCAGCTTTAACGTAGGGTTGGTTCCAACATCGTTGATGATTAGTTGGTGTCCACTGGTCCTCCTGCTGCTCCTCCTGCTGCTCCTCCTCCTCCTCTTCCTCCTCCTCCTCCTCCTCCTTCTCCTCCTCCTCAAGAGGCCTACAAGAGGTCCCCGAGCGGCCCCCAAGAGAGACCAAGAGGCCCCCTCGGAGACACCCAAGACGCCCCGAGAGGCGACAAAGAGCGCCAAGATGCCCCAAAGACGTCCACAAAGGCCTCCAAGAGGCCCCCAGGGCGCCCAAAGACGCCTCGAAGAGCCGCCAGGAGGCCCCCAAGACGCCTCCGAGAGATCCCGAGGGGCCTCCACAAGAGAGGCTCCGAGAGAGACATCCGAGAGTGGCCAGGAGAGCGTATGCACAGCTCCTGGGTTCAAGACGGGCATGGCCAGTGAGCAGTGGTTAGCCATAGATTTCGTCGCCCGAGTGAGGATACTTTTTTTGGTCGCGTCCGCTGGCGAAAGCGCAGGCGGAGACAGAAGCTGTCAGGGGCGCGGGAACAGTCCTAATTAGCTGCTAGGCGCGAAGCGGGCCGGCCGGGCCAGCTCACAAGGCAGCGGCTGAGCTGCTCGGTGAGGGCTGACTGGCTGAGGGCACCCAGGGAAGCTCGGGCAACGTACAGTCATGGGCAAAATGCCAGGGAATTCGATGTACGCCCGGCGGCGTGAACCACCAAGTGAGGATACGCGGAGCGTGAAGAGTTCAAGCTCCTTCCTGCTAAACTATCGCACGGGCACGGTGGCGGGGTTTGCCGCAGGCAGCTGGGTGGAGCAGAGGAGCAAAAGGGCCGCAGTGCATTGGAGTGGTTGAGTAGTGAACGTCGTCGTCAAGCATGCAAACATCACACGCAAAAACACCACCGACTTGCTGACCTGAGTATACTTCGCAACAGTTACTCTGAGCAAGCGCTGGTAGGCACCGCACGCGCTTGGCAGCGCCAGGAAGGCGATGTCTGGCCCGCGTCTGCCACCAAGCCTATGTCGGGCGTGTCCCCCTACAGGGGGCTTTTCGACGAAAAATCAAAAATACCCCAAAAATACCCCAAAAAGGCTAAAAAAATATTCAAAAAATAGCCCCCAGACTATTTTTGCATTGTTTTTTTACCATTTCGGGGGTATGTTTCATTTTTCGTCGAAATCCGCCTGTAGGGGGACAGGCCCGACTTCAACCAAGCCACTCCCATGGGACCCCAGGTGCACAGGAGAGCTGGGGAAGAGGCGCACCGTCGGCGGCGCATAAGGGGAAGGGAGCGACAAGAAGTTGGACGGCACAAGGAGGGAGGAGGCAGGAATCGCGAAGAGGGAAGAGAAAACGAGGGGGGGCGAGAGGACGAGGGGGGGCGAAAGGACGAAGAGGGAAGAGAAAACGAGGGGGGGCGAAGAGAGAAGAGAAAACGAGGGGGGAAGAGAAAACGAGGGGGAAGAGAAAACGAGGGATAGAAAACGAGGGAAGAGAAAAATCGCGAAGAGGGAAGAGAAAACGAGGCGGGATCGAAGAGGCGACGAGCGAGGGGGGGCGAGAGGACGGGGCCGGAGACGGGAGAGGCGCAGGAGCAGCGGCCTGTTCCAGGACAGCAGCCCCACATACAAGGATTGGTGAGGGACAAGAGCGAGAGCGCGAGGACAGACGAGGCAGAGGCAAAGGCCCCAACCATGTGCAGCCGCGGGTGCCGCAGCACGGATGGGAACTGAGGGAAGAGCCGGCAAAGGGACTGAGGCGCGCGTGGGAAGGACGGAGCGACGTTGCCGACGGGGTCGCGGAGGTCGGCAGTGACGGGTCACATATCGATGTAAACCGTCAAGTCTGATCTGCGCGTCTGTCGGCGCGGCCTGGGAGGGGGCAGCATGCGGCGGGGCCTTCGGCCACGAAACGCGTGAGGAGTGTGCCGACATGGGCGCGGTCACGTATGCGAGTCTGGCCACTGGGGTATTCGGTGGAGCTCCCTACATGAGGCCACGAAACGTGCGAGTGGTGTGCCGAAGTGGGCGCGGTCACGCATGCGAATCCTGCCACTGGGGCCTCAGATGGGGCTCCCCGTGGAGCAACGAAACGTGCGAGGGGTGCGCCAAAATGGCATGGAGAAGGCATGCGAACGCAGCCACTGGGGCCTCAGGTGGAGCTCCCTGAAGGCCCACCAAACGTGGCGGGGTAGGCCGAAACGGTGTGGAAAAGGTATACAAGCGCAACCACTGGGGCCTCAGGTGGAGCTCCCGATGAAGCCACGAAACGTGCGAGGGCTGCGCCGAGATGGTGTGACTAAGGTATGCGGATGCAGCCACTGGGGCCTCAGGTGGAGCTCCCTATGAAGCCACGAAAGGTGCGAGGGGTACGCCGAAATGGTGTGACGAGGATATGCGAACGCAGCCACTGGGGCCTCAGGTGGGGCTTTTTATGAAGCCACCAAACGTGCGAGGTGTGCGCCGAAACTGTGGAGAAGGCATGCGAACGCAGCCACTGTGGCCTCAGGTGGAGCTCCCTCCCTGTGAGGCCGCGAAACGTGCGAGTGGTGCGCCGAAATGGTGTGGGCCAGGCCTGCGAACGCAGCCACTGGGGCCTCAGGTGGAGCTCCCTATGGGGCCACGAAACGTGCGAGGGCTGCGCCGAAATGGCGTGAAGGTATGCGGACCAAGATTTTTGGGCCTTCCGTGGAGCTTCCTGTGGGGCCACGAATCGTGTAAGTTGTGCTCCGAAGTGGCTGTAGAAGGCATGCAACCAGGATTTGTGGGCCTCAGGTGTAGCTCCCTAAGAGGCTACAAAACATGTGATGGGTGTCCCAAAGCAGAGACTACGGAGGGCAGGTGCAGGGAGGGGGAGGAGGAGGTGGAGTGATGAGGATCGCGGGGCGCTCTGTTCAACACGAGGACCCAGCGCAACACAGGACGGTGGGGAACAACGTGGGGGGGAAGCTCTCTTGAGCTCGACTGCCACCGGTCCGCTTCACTCTTCCCCCGCGTCTCCACCCTTCATGCCCCTTCAATGCCTCCCTCTCCCCATGTCCCCTTCCCGACTCGTTCCTCAATTCGCCTCATCCCCTCGTTCCCTTCAGCTCGCGCGCGGCGGCGGTGGCGCACTGAAGCCCCAGTCGGAGGACGTCGTCAAAGTGCTCGTTGTTTGGACTGTCGCCTCATGGGAAGAAGCGCCGTCTGGGTTTCCCTCCTCCTCCTCCTCCTCCTCCTCCTCCTCCTCCTTGTCCTCCCCCGCTTCGCCCTCCTTATCACCCTCTTCAAATTCAGCAGTCCTCCACCCCCTCCATCTCTCCTCCCACCTCATACATCCTGCCGAATGCCCACTCTCACTGATTTGGAAATGGCTCATCACAGTGTCGCGTAGTGTGACGACGGCATGGACGAGCGTACATGCGGTGTCGAAGGATGAATGAAATCGAGGCGCAACAAGAAGCAAGGGGAAGACAGGACGCCCATGATTACACTAACGGCGACGGCCGAATCATGATTCTGACGGTGACCAGTGATCGCGCAAGCTCATGGCATAACAAGCCAGAAGAAGATCAGCCAAAGGCTGATCCATTGGACTGCCCTAAAGGGTTAATTGTGAGTGTGGGGTAGCCCGACTTAGCAGGATCAACAGGGGAAGGACGGAAAGGGCACCCAAGCAGGCGCGGGCTCGCAAAACAACATTGCACAGGGCAATCATCTCGCAACGTAAAAACGACCAGACAACGACATACACGTCTACAGACTTAATCCGCCACGCCGTCACGCACTGAGTGGAAAGTCCTCAGGTCCCTGCAATCATCTGTCATCAATCCTGAAGATTTTCAAGGGGGCCCCAACCCGGAGTTCCGGGCGCTCTCAGGCGCCACTCGAATTACCGGGACTTATCGCATGATTTCCGAGAGGGCCCAAGACGAGCCGAGAGGGCCCCAGGAGGCCCCCGAGATGGTCCCAGAGGGCCCCGAGACGCCAAACGATCGGCGCAAGACGCCCAAGATGGCCCAAAGACGGCCCAAGAAGCACGTTCAGGAGGACCTCGAGAGCCAAAATTCAGTGATTGTCCCAAGGTTTTGAAGCAGTTCAGCGTTCTAGCTTTGTCGGGATCTCGACGCTCCAAGACGGCCCAAGAGGCTCCCAAAATCACTCCAAGAGGGCCCAAGAGCGTCACCTGACAGCCCAAGAGGGGCCCAACAACTTCCAAGAGTAAAAGACTACGGATCCGCGCTCCCGAGGCCACGATCCCTCGTAGAAACCGGTGCATCCGCGTCCCGAGCTTCCAAGACGGCTCAGGCAGGCCACCAAGGCAACCAAGACGGCCCAAGATTCGTCGAAGACAGGCAAGAGTAGCCCAAGGCGGCCCAATATGGCATCAAGACTGTCCAAGATGGCTCCAAGAGAACCCACAAAGGGTCACAAGAGGACCCCCAACAGGGCGCGAAGAAACCACAACCATTGATTCCCCTGTGTTTGAAGAATTTTCGCGTTCTCACCTTTTCGGGCTTCCTTCAGCCCAAGACGGCCCAAGCGGCCTCCAAGATGGTCCCAAGACGGCCCGAGAGGCCGCCACGAGGATTTAAAGATCGCCCAAGAAGACGCTACGAGGGCCCAAGAGGCATCCAAGACGGATCAAGAGGCCTCCCGTGGGAGCCAAGACGGCATGACAAGGCCGTTCAAATGCCCAAGACGGCGCCAAGACGACCCCACGACGGCTCCTAGGCACCCACCAAACGGCCGTGAGGGCCCAAAGACGGCCCAAGAGAGCCCCAAGGCAGCCTCATGAAGCCCCAAGACGGCCCAAGGTGGCCCCAAGGGACCATTAAGACTGCCTGACAAGAGGCCAAGACAGCCCTCAGACGGCCAAAACGAGTCCCATGAGAGCTCCTCAAACAGTGAAAACGAGAACTCCTAGATCCTAATATAGCGAAAAGAAATTTCAATGAGAGCATCTGATATGCGAGGTGCCACATGTGACGGCCCTCCTCTTCCATATCATCCTTATTCACCCTTCCTCTTCGTCCTCCTCCTCCTCCTCCTCTTCCTCCTCCTCCACGTCGCCATCGGCATCGCAATCATCATCAGCAGCATCATCCGCATCACCATCATCATCACCATCATCACCATCCTCGTCTCTAGTATAATGACAAGCATCAAATTCCTCATTACCGTCATCATCATCAACACCACCAACATCATCATCATCATCATCATCATCATCATCATCATCATCATCATCATCATCATCATCATCACAATCATAATCATCGTCATTGCCGTCAACACCACCACCACCAACACCACCACCATCATCATCATCAACACCATCATCGCCACCACCAACACCGTCACCATCATCACCACCACCATCACCACCACCACCATCATGATTAGCAACATCGTCACCCATCACGTCATCTCTGTAGGTACCATGTCTCGTCTACTCCTTGAGCCCGTACTGCCTAACTGGAGTCGCTCTCTGGTCACCAATGGTCGTCACACCCGCGCGTGGGGGTGCAGACACAACAAGGTGTGTCGGACCATCGGGCAACCGTTGCGGCTGCACCGCGCGGGTGCAGCTCCCCACCAGATCCCAACAACGTGCTGGTTCTCCTGACAGACTCTATTCCTGCAGTACGCCAGCGATAACCATCATTTTCCACCCTCCTGAGGTACCGGCAGCCGTGTGCAATGGTCCAGGTGCATTATGTCTCGGCCCTACGCTTGGTTGTCATGCGCTTGGTTGTCATCCGAGGTGCATCCTACGCTTGGTTGTCATGCGACTGGGTGGAGAAGCCACCTCTGCTGGACTGGTGTCTCGCTGGCCGTCGGCCGTGCGCGGGGTCTTTCCGAGTCATGATATGCAAGACGGCGCCGCAGTCGTCAGGGGCACGACCCCCCTCCCGTCGGTCCGAGCGGGGTAAAGTGCACGGAATGCCCCTGGCCGCCGCCAGCGACGCGACGTTCAACGCAGGTCCAGCAGCATCGCGCGAGAACCCTCGTGGCTCCCTGCCGCGCAGTCTCGCGCTCTTCTTCTGCTACCAGCACTATTGCTCTGTACGTTGGGCATTATGTTGTGGGGGGCGCCCTGCCCCTGCTCACTTGACGAGCTCTTCCGCGCGGCGCGTTCCCTGGACGTGTCCGCGGGCGGGGTCATCGTGAAGCGCTTCCACGGCGCTCTCTTTTACAAAGGCGATCGCGAAAGCCTTCTCCTCGAGGGTGCAAGTGGAGGTGCTCGTTCGTGCCGGTGCCTGTAGCCGGTGCCGGTGCCTGTAGAGGTATAGTTCATGGTGTTCGTGGAAGTTATCGTCGTTACGGTTGGCTGCTTCGTGGCCCTGTCGCTAGTGCTGGAGTCCCTCCTTCGCTGGGCAATGACGCTCCGTGGGTCATCATGTCCGTAGTCGCCGTGCCTCGTCCACTCCTTAGGCCCGTACTGCTTGGCTGGAGTCGCTCTCTGGTCACCAGAGGCCGTCACACCCGCGCGGCGGGGTGCAGACACAACAGGGTCATCGGACCCTCGGGCAACCGTTGCGGCTGCACCGCGCGGCTGCGGCTCCCCGCCAGAGCCCAACAACCTGCTCGTTTTCCTGACTTCCTGTTTTCCTTCAGTACGCCAGCGGAAAGTATCATCATCATCATCATCATCATCATCATCATCATCATCATCATCATCAGCAGCAGCAGCAGCAGCAGCAGAGGCATAATCATCATCATCAACAGCATCACCACCACCACCACCACCACCACCACCATCATCATCATCATCATCATCATCATCATCATCATCATCATCATCATCATCATCATCATCATCATCATCATCATCATCATCATCATCATCATCATCATCATCATCATCATCATCATCATCATCATCATCATCATCATCATCATCATCATCATCATCATCATCATCATCATCATCATCATCATCATCAGCAGCATCATCATCATCAGCATCATCATCATCATCATCATCATCATCATCAGCATCAGCATCAGCATCAGCATCATCATCAGCATCATCATCATCATCATCATCATCATCATCATCATCATCATCATCAGCATCATCATCATCATCATCATCATCATCATCATCATCATCATCATCATCATCATCATCATCATCATCATCATCATCATCATCTTAAGCATCATCATCACCACCATCATCACCATCATCATCACCATCATAACCATCATCAGCATCATCATCAGCAGCAGCAGCATCATCATCAAAATCATCATCATTATCATCATCATCATCATCATCATCAACAGCATCATCATGATCATCATCATCAGCATCATCATCGTCGTCATCCTCATCCTCATCCTTATCCTCCTCATCATCATCATCACCATCATCATCATCTACATCATCATCCTAATCATCGTCATCGTCATCGTCGTCATAATCAACATCATCATCAAAATCATCGTCATCGTCATCGTCATCGTCATCCTCATTATCAAGAACAAAAACAACAACATCATCTTCACCATCACCATAAATGTCGCCATCGTCGTCATCAGCATCAGCAGGAGCAGCAACAACATCAGCATCAGCATCAGAATTATCATCATTATCAGCAGCAGCAGCAGTATCATCATCAGCGTCATCATCGTCGTCGTCATCGTCATCATCATCGTCATCATGGTCATCCTCGTCATAATCACCAAAACTATCATCAGCATTATCAGCATCATCATAATCAGTATCCTCAGCATCGTCATCGTCATCTTCGCCATCCATAACATGATTGTAATCATCATCCTCATCCTCATCATCAGCACCATCAGCATCGTCATCATCAACAACAGCATCATCTTGAACAACCACATCATCATCAACGTCATCATCGTCATCGTCATCAGTATCATCATCAGAATTAGCATCATCACCATCAGTATCATCGACATCGTCATCGTCATCCTCATCCTCGCTATCCTTATCAGCATCATTATCCTCATCAGCAGCAGCCGCATCAGCATCCTCATCATCCTCACCATCATCGTCATCGTCATCATCAGCAGCAGCATTATCATCGTCATCATCATAATCATCATTAGCAGCATCATTATCAGCATCATCATCACCAGTCAGCACCACCATCACCACCACCACCACCACCGCCATCCTCATAATCCTCATCATACTCATCATCCTCATCACGGCTCTCCCAAGCCTGGAGGCACGAAGTGTCACACGTGATGGCCTCCCGTGCCCCTTGAACAGTCGCAGCCCAGAATTCTAGGCTGGCACAGTGGCGGCACTTGCCGCAGGCAGCTGGATGAGGGAAAGGGATGGGGGAGGAGGAGGAGGAAGAGGAGGAGGAGGAGGAGGAGGCGAGGAGGAGGAGGAAGAGGAGGCGGAGGAGGAGAATGCGGAAGAGGAGGAAGGGGGGGGAAGAGCAGGCGGAGGGGGAAGGAGGAGGGAGAGTAAACGGAAGAGGAGGAGGACTTTGAGGGGGAAAAGAAGGATGAGGATGAGGAGAATACTTTTGTTGGCGTTCTCGCCATCACCACTATTACCCTCGTCGTAGATTGCCTGGAAGGACACCAAGCGGCAAGAACGTCAATTTTCGGAGGTCCGCGCAGATCTCTTGGGTGCCGTCCGGGCCCCCGCGCCCTGGTGCGCGAAGCACGCCAGAGGCGGCGCCAGAGGTGCCGCCACAGGAAATCAGGCGCCGACCCAAGATACCGCCGAGGACCTCCGAAAGCTGATGCTCATGCCGCCTGCTGTGCTTCGATTGTCGCAGGCGTTGCCGTCGGAGCGGGCCTGCCCACGGACGTACTTTCTCCACGCGCGGCTGTTCTCGTTGCGCTCCACTCTGCGAACCCTGCGGGCGAGACCAGAGGGGGGCGTGCCGAAGACGGGCACGGAGGTTGAAGAGAGGCTGGTCACAGAGAGAGGCAGGAGCAGGGGGGGGAGGAGAGAAGGGATGACAGTGGGACTGATGGAATCAGCCCGCGAGTCATGAGAATTGTCAAGTACGCCCCAAGGGGCCCCGAAACGGCCCACAAGAGGCCTACTGCAAGCATCTCTCCAGGAGCCGCGGGAAAGCGCACCCGCCTGGAGAGCCCCAGGGCAAGGGGCCTCACAATCCCCGCTCCCTCGCCTCTCGCCCGTGAGTCGCGGCACGGCTGGGGCCGAGAGGCCCCTGTGGAAGCTGCCAGCGACCCTGCGGCCTTTCCCCCCTCGGGCTGGCTTTGGGGCCCCCCGGGCCGATGGTCGCCTGATGTCAGCGCCCCTCTCACCTTGGACCTTCACGTGGCCCCTAGAAGCGGGGGGCGGTGGCTTCCGACGGGGTGTCTAGACTTAGGTCGGGCGCGTCCTCGTATAGGCGGCTTTTGGAGGAAAGATTAAAAATAATCGAAAAATGCTATAAGAAAACAAAAAATAATCCAAACCTCGTCCCCAGATTATGTTGCACTATTTTTGAATATTCCTCCTGTAGAGGGACAGGCCCGACTTACTCCACACCTAGGTCGGGCGTGTCCCCCCTACAGGCGGATTTTGGACGAATAAGTCAAAATACAAACAACAAAAATCAAAAAAAATACTCAAGAATGGTCCATAAATCGTCCCCACACTATTTGTTGACTATTTTTGAACTATTTGCCTCCTGTAGAGGGACAGGCCCGACTTAACTCCACATTCCTCGTAACCCTCCCCCCCTTTTTTTGTTTCTCTCTCTCTCTCTCTCTCTCTCTCCCAGGGGGAGCGACGGCACGGCCCTGGCTTGCGCCCGGGGTGGGCGATGGCAGGTGCTCTCGGGCCGGGGATGGGTCCCTCCTCCTCCTCCTCCTCCCACACCTCCCGCCCTCGCCGTCCCCCGTCCCTCAAGGACTTGCAGCGCGGCGTTGGGCTCGGGTCTGGGGTGGCCGCAGTTTACGCTCGCGGGCCCGCGGTGGCCCCTCCCTCGCCACACCGCGTGCCTCTGGTGGTCATGGCACCGACCCTGCAGACGTGCTGCAGCGGATCTTTGGCGCGGATGTCTGTCGGTGCAAGAGCCCGAGCCGGCGAGCGAAAAACGAAGTGAATTTCACCTGGATGTCTTTCAGTCCTCATTCCTGGCCAAAAACATCCGCGCGAAATGAACTTCGAAACCCGGACCGAACTGCTCCAGGACACTCCGGGGCCCATCCTATACTGTTTTCCGAACGAAATCCGCTCTGCGATGTTGGCGCCATGATCATGGAATTGCAGCGCGGCGTTGGATTCGGGTCTAGGGTGGACGCAGTTTACGCTGCAGGGCCCGCAGTGGTCCCTCCCAAGCCCCAGCCCCTGGGCCGCCGTCTCTTCTGCCTTCTGCCGCCCCTGCTGGGTCATCGTGGCCGTCAGGTTCCAGTCCATGGCAGGTTCGGCTCCTGGTGGTATCGAGTCTGCGAGTCCAGGTTCGAGCCCTGACAGGTGGGCTCGCCAGACTCTGCCAGCCCCAGGCTGCTCCAATGTTTTCGATGCGTGGGCCCCGGAGGTCCCGACCACTTCCCTGGGACCGGTTTTCCGCCCCGAGCCGTTCTGTTGAGGCTCCAGAGGCCCGGCGAGGGCCTCCAGGGGCCGAGAACGACCAACAAAAACGCCTGCTCGATTTTCTGTTGGGAACGGCGGATCTCTGGGAATCGTGGGGACGAACATCCGCCGAGGGTGGCGACCAGGGAGAGCACACCCGCATGGAGGGGTCCCCGCCTCCTCCCGGGCTCGAGCCCTGGAAGGGCGAGCCTTCCCCTCCCCCCGTCTGCTCCGCCCTGCTTCTGCCTCCGCAGGCCGCGCCGCGGGCGCAGACCGGCAGTGTCGCACCGCAACACCCAGAGATCCGCCGCTCCCAAACCGAAATCGAGCAGGCGTTTTTTGGTCGTTGTCAGCCTCTGGGGGCCCACGCCGGGCCTCTGGAGCGTCAAAAACCGGCTCAGGGCGAAAACCAGCCCCTGGGAAGTGGTCGGGACCTCCAAAGCCCACGCATCGAAAACACTGGAGCAGCCAGGATGTCTGGGAAGCAGAGTCGAGGAGAGGGAGAGGCGCAACTGCGTAAGTCCTGGTCCCCCCGACCCAGCGGGTGAGCTATGGGTGCGCTGCCACGCTCCGGGAGGAGTGGAGTGGGGCTCATCCCCCACTCCCCCCCCGTCGCGGGACGCTCCAGGGGGGGGGGAGTGGGGGGGAGCCAAGGCGGCAGCTCCGTCCATGGCCGCCCCGCCGGACGGAGGGAGCGCTGCCCCCCGCCTCGTCGCGGAGCGCGCCAGAGCTGGGTGAACAGTGGCAGCCGCTGCGCCACCCGTCCCCGCGGGCAGGTGCGGGGAAATGCGCTGCCGAGGCCTCCTCCTCTGCCTCCTCCTCCTCCTCCTCCTCCTCCTCCTCCTCCTCCTCCTCCTCCTCCTCCGCCTCCTCCTCCGCCTCCTCCTCCGCCTCCTCCTCCTCCTCCTCCTCCTCGCAAAAGGTGGATCCGCTTCGGAATCACGGGTCCGCGGTCCATGTGGCTGCCCTGGCCTGTTTCCGGTAATCCCTGGGAAACCTGCGGGGTCTCGTGGCTGACCGTGGCTTCCGTGGTAACCCCACGGAACCTTTGGTCGGCGCATGGCAGTTGTGCTTTGCGCGCTGTGCTTGCCCTCGCTGCGCTTTTTTATCGCCATCCTCCCCCTCCTCCTCCCTCCTCCTCCTCCTCCTCCTCCTCCTCCTCCTCCTCCTCCTCCTCTTCCTCCTCCTCATCATCATCATCAGCAGCAGCATCATCAACATCAGCATCAGCATCAGCATCATCATCATCATCACCACAGCCACCCACATCATCATCATCATCATCATCAGCAGCAGCAGCATCATCATCACAACCACCACCCCCTCCTCCTCCTCCTCCTCCTCCTCATCCTCCTCCCCTCATCCTCCTCCTCATCATCATCATCATTATCATAATCAGCAGTATCATCATCATCATCATCATCATCATCATCATCATCATCATCATCATCATCATCATCATCATCATCATCACCACCATCATCGTCATCATCATCATCATCGTCATCAGCAGCAGCATCAGCCTCATCAACATCACCATCATCATCATCATCATCAGCAGCATCATCGTGAACAGCATCACCATCATCACCACCATCAGCATCACCATCATGAACACCACAATCATCATCACCACCATCACTATCACCGCCACCACCATCACCACCGTCATCATCATCATCACCATCAATGTTTGGCCATCATCTTCCAGGCATCACCACTTCCATCGAAATCGCCATCGCCATCATCATCGTCAACATCATCACAACCAGATTCGTAATCTGCATCATGGTGCCCATGTTCACCAGCATCATCACCCATCATCTCCATCCTCCTCCTCCTCCTCATCATCATCATAATTAGCATCGTCATCATCACCATCATCAGCATCATTACCATCTCCATCATCGCCATCATCATCTTCACCAACATCAACATGCTTTCCATCGCCATCGCCATCATCATCATCAGCACCATCATCATCATAGCAATATCGATCATCAGCATAGTCATCAGTAGCACCATCATCATCAGCAGCAGCAACATCATCCCTCATCCTCATCCTCACCCCAATCCTCATCCTCAGCATCATCATCATCAGAATCATCGTCATCATCAGCAGCAGCAGCATCAGCAGCATCATCACCATCATCTGCATGAGTTCCATCACCATCGCCAGCCCCATCGCCGTCATAATCATCATCATCAACATCATCATCATCATCATCATCATCATCATCATCATCATCATCATCATCATCATCATCATCATCATCATCATCATCATCATCATCAACATCACCATCACTATCACCATCACCATCACCGTTGCGCGGCGCTGACGTCGACAGCCTGAGTCGGTGCGACTCGCTCACGTTCAGCCTGTCTGCCCAGTCGTCGAAGATCCCCTCGCGCCAGCATGCCCCCGGAATGGGCAGAGGAGAGGAAGAAGGGAGAGGAGAGACTGAAGGGGCCCCAGGACACACAAATAAATACACACAAATAAACAGATTCCCCATATTTTCCCATATTTTCTGCGTTTCTGTCTTCCCCCCCGCTTCCCATAGTTTCCCATATTTTCTGGGGAATCGAGGATTAATTGTGTCTGTGTGTTTCTTTTCCTCCTGAGAGACGGACGGGGCAGGAGGTGAAGTATTCGAGGAGGGCGTGCTCTTGCTGCCTGGTCGTCAGCACAACGCTCCGCGTGCTGCAGCTTGCTGCTGCTGCTGCTGCTGCTGCTTGCGTTCTTGCCCCTGGCCCTGGGCACGTCGCACGGGTGGCCGCTCCAGGGATGCCGCGCCCGATCGAAGGCGGCAAGAGATCAGTCGAGTCGCTGGCCCCTCGCGCTGCCTCTTCTTGGCGGCACACGCAAGGGGGTAGGGGGAGGGGGGAAAGCCTCTCAGGAGGAGGCTGCTTCTTCGCAGGTGCCGGCCATCCATATACGGAGAAGGCCCGCGCCTTCCAAGAAGCACGGGTGCTTCTAAGAGGCCTTCCCCCCCTCACCCTACCCCACTCTGCACAAGGCTCATCATCGGCGGGCGCTGGCCTCTCCAGGGCAGCAGCTGCCGCGTGCGACCCGTCGAGTCGCTGGCCCCTCGAGTCGCCTCCTCAGCGGGAGGCCCCTCGGCGCCGCCTCCCTGGACGTCTGGCTGCTTCCGTTCTGTTCGACGCGTGGGCCCCGGAGGTCTGGACCACTTCCGCGGGGCCGGCCAGCTCCCCGCCCCGGGTCGTTCCGTTGACGCCCCCGCGGCCCGGCGAGGGCCCCCCAGAGGCCGAAGACTGCCGAAGGCCGCCCGCTGCATTCTTTTGGGGGACCCCTCGGATCTCTCGGCCTGGCTGACGCACGAGGTCCCTGGAAGTCCAGACGCGTTCCCCAGGTCCGGTGTTTCATCCCGAGTCGTTTCTTGTTTGACAGCCACGTGAAAAGCCACAACCTGTCATTGACTTGATAGCGTCTGTTTCGCATTTGGCATGCCATTGTTCGATGGCATCGCCAAACCGACACCAAAGCCGAGCACGTGAGCAAGACTCTCCACGCGCAAGATGCTTCATCCAATGTATTGCTCGTGAAATACGACAGGTTCGCGTCGTGTCGACCCTGGCGTTGGTTCCTGACACCGCGGGGATCGTTCAACCTTGAACGACCGGACCTTTCAAAAAGGCCAGATCGTTCAAAGATGGGCCGATTCTGGGCCACGGGCGGTGTTCAACCTTAAAAGCCCGCGCTGAGGTCGCCGCCGGTCGACACGACGCGAACCTGCCGTACTTGTTTGGGAAGAAAGGAGCGCAGCCACATATCTTCACACATGCCAGCCTCAACCACACTGCAAATCAACAGGTCGCCAGGCGAACCGGGAACGCCACACGAGCCGACAGCTGTGGCCTCTGAAGGGAGAGAACGAGAGAGAGAGAGAGAAAGAGAGACCAAGCGCTCAGGGTGCCAAGATCCCCGAAGCCCAAACGACCAACGCTATCACACACGCATGGCGAGGAGGGAGGGCGATTGGGGGAAGGAGAGGCGGCGACAGGAGAGCGGGAGGGGAGAAGGTGCTGAAAAGCAGCGCTCACGGGCAGACCGGAGCTACACGACCCACCACGCAAACAAACAGGCACGCCCTGGAAGACAGAGGTAGAGAGAGGAGGGGCAAAGAAAAATATATCGAAAAATGCAGGAGCAATAGTCATAACAGCCGGTGGGTTTGTTGCAAGTTGCTGGAAGGGGTCTGGGAAATGTAGGGAAGCCCCAAGTTGCCTCCAAAATGCATTCAAAATGCCTTCAAGAGGGAGGAGCGGAGAAGGAGGAGGAGGAGGAGGAGGAGCACGAAGAGGGAAGGAAGGACACAAAGTGGGGGCGTTCAAGATCCGCGCCAGGTCAAGCAGAGCACTGAGCTGGAGCGAGTCGTGTGCTCAGCCTCCTTCCTGCTTCGCGGCAGCGCTGGCGCAGTTGCGGGGCTTGCCGCAAGCAGACTAAGCCTGCATGGGCGATGCAGCACCGTGCTTCTGTGGACCCACCTCGGCCATGACATGGAGAAATGAGTGGGACGGACCAAGGCCACTGCCTCCTCGCTTGTGAGCGCCCGACGGCGTCCGGACATCTTTCTAGTCGCAGCAAGTGGCAGTCGCGCACCGCGTCCGTAGCCTAGGCGGGGGCGCTGCTGGGCGAACTGCACACCAGCCGGCGGGAAACAGAACAGGGCGGCTGCGGAGGAGGAGAGGGAGAGGAAGCGAGAGAGAGAGAGAGAGAAAAACAAAACAAAAAAAACGGCTGCGCATGGGCACGGCAAAGGGGAAAACTGCATCTGCCTGGCACCCGCAGGCGAGGGGCTCGGGAAGCGCCAGCAGCGCCCCCGGGTGGGACCGCGAACGCGGGTCCCGGGCGGAGGCAAGGGATCTGCCTCGCGCGGCTCGGGAAGGCACGAACGAGCACCACGGCACCGTTCAGGTCCGAGTACCCACCATGCAAAGAGAGTGGGGGCAAGCATGAAGTAGGAAGGCGCTGAGAGTTGGGCTTTTGCCCGTTCCCTGAAGGGGAAGGAAGCAAGGGGAAGGAAATAGGAAGGCGCCTGAAGCAGATTGGAGCCTGGGAATCCACGAGCAACTAGTTTGAAACAGCGATTGAAAAAAGAACGTCATGGGGGCGCCGGCTCAGGAGGAGAAAAATCGAAGTGGAAACGGTGATACCATCGCCCGCAAATCGGCGATGTCCACACGGCGCGTTCCTGGGCGGGGTGGGCTATCAGGCCCCTGCGGCGATGAAAGGGCGATCGGGGGTCGATGCTTTCCCCTCTCAGCCTCGCCCCTGGAGGTTTTCGGGACATGTAACTCGGGCATCCGGCGGCCGTTTGGGACGACCCGGGCCCCCCCGGAACGCTCTCGGCGAGGCGCAGCTGCCGAAGGCACCCCGAGGCCCGAGCACCTCCAGGAACAAACGAAAACGGCCGAAGACCTCGAACATCGAAGCTTCGAACCTCACCTCTGATTCTACACTTGGGGCCCGTCCACAAGAAACCTTCCACAAGAAACCCTACCCTGAGACCCCAGGGCGTCCATCGATCTTTGGCGCGGGAACGTCACGTTTTTCACTGCAAAAACCTCGAAATCCAAGAAACCCAGGGCACCCTGGAGGCGAGAACGGTTTTTTGTGGCATGGGTCTCAAATTTATCCCTGTCCAACGATTCGCCATCGCACCGAGGGAAGGCCCAGGGCGGAGCGGCGGCCAGGCTCCTGGACAGCTGCCAGGTCGACCTGCCGCACCTGGAAGACCTCCCTGAAATCCTGCGCCCCCCGCGCCCTCCCGCCCCAGGAGGGAGGAGGAGGAGGAGGAGGAGGAGGAGGAGGACGATGAGGAGGAGGAGGAGGAGGAGGAGGAGGAGGAGGGGGCAGAGGAGGAGGAGGAGGAAGAGGAGGGGGAGGCCGCTTTCTACCGCAAGGAGTTTTGGATTCAAGCGCACGGTTTCAAGGAATCCCAGGGCTTACCGAAAACTCACCGAGCTGCCGCCACAGGGCCCCGAAGGCGCTGACGACGACGGCGAGGCCGAGGCGCGGGCGAGAAGCTTGCTCGTTCAGAGCCAGCGAACAAGAGCGCACGTTGCAGTGCGCCGCTCGTGGCTCACACTGACGCACGCGTCCTACATGACTTCCACGATGTCGCAGGGCCAGACGCTGCGCGAGGGATCGACTGCGCCAGGGACGAAGACGCTAGCTACACAGGCATGTCTGACGAGCAATGGTGGCTGCACGTATACGTCAAGTTGTCCCGCGCAACGCGCATGCGGAACATGCTGATCATCTAGCCGCCCTCGCGTGAGGTTATGGAGCGCGGGCCGCCGGCGTCCTTGCGAAGGCGCTCAAGAAAATTGACAAGACAGCGGTGCCGCGCTGAAGCACAGCAGCTCGCAGATGAGCTGGGCTTTGCGCTGCCTCCCGCCGTAGCGCGGCGGCGCGAAGCTAGAGGCCCGCCGGGTTGTCCCAACGGCTGGGCATCGTGCGCCAACGGCCCGCGGGGATGTCCCGACGGCCTGGCCCGCAGGGTTGCCCCAACGGCTTCGCGATCTGGCTGACGGAGAACGCGCCCGTGCTGGCCGAGGCGGCGACGGAGCCAAGGAAGATTGGCACGCACGTCCTGGCAATGGAAAATCGATATGCGCGCCTTTGCAAAAAAAACTACCGGAGGTGGCGGAGGGGGAAAAAAGGCAGGAGGAAGAGGACGGAGCAACGAAGGGGTCGGGAGGAGGCTGAAGAGAGTGAGGAGGAGGAGGAGGAGGAGGAGGAGGAGGAGGACGAGGAGGAGGAGGAGGAGGAGGAGGAGGAGGAGGAGGAGGAGGAGGAGGAGGGAGGAGGGGGAGGAGGGGGAGGAGGAGGGGAGGAAGAGAGGAGGAGGAGGAGGGAGGGAGGAGGGAGGAGGAGGGGGAGAAGGAGGAGGAGGGGAAAGAGGAGAGGGGGGAGGAGGAGGGGAGAGGAGGGAGGAGGAGGAGGAGGACGAGGACGAGAGGAGGAGGGGGGAGGAGGGAGGCGGAGGCGGAGGAGGAGGAGGAAGGAGGAGGAGGAGGGAGCAGGAGGAGGAGGAGGAGGAGCAGGAAGGAGGGGAGGAGAGGAGGAGGAGGAGGAGGGGGAGAAGGAGGAGGAGGGGAAAGAGGAGAGGAGGAGGAGGAGGAAGGACGAGGAGGAGGAGGGGAAAGAGGAGGAGGAGGAGGAGGCGGAGGAGGAGGAGGAGGAGGAGGAGGAGGAGGAGGGGTCTTAGGAGGGGGGGAGGAGGAGGAGGGGGAGAAAGAGGAGGAGGAGAAGGAGGAGGAGGAGGAGGAGGGGAAATAGGGGAAATAGGAGGGGGAGGAGGAGGAGAAGGAGGCAAAATGTAGGCCAGGAGGAAGGCCTCCGTCAGGGCGATGAGGAGAAGGCGAGGAGCAGGCTAAACAGATTCTCGTGCGGGGTCCTACCGTCGGAGAAATTTGAAAAAAGGGATTCGCACGTGAGACTTCTTCAGTGTCGCTTGCAGCAAAGCCTCCAGCATTCAACAGCTACACGAATGGATAGGCGACTCCGACCTACATGCTGCCCATCGCTTCAGATCATGTTCAATCCGACGACCACGAAATCTGATATGTTCGCTTCGGCACTCCGAAATCCCACTAGCCCTCTTGGCGGAGATGCTGCAGGCATCAGGGCATTGGAAACACTATTTCCCATTCTGGGGAGAGTTTACTCATCCCCCGATTCCACGCCGGAAAACTTCCCCCCCATCCCACACCTAGCGAAACCGCCTGGGGGCCTCTCTAGCCCGCTTGGAGGCCTCTTGGGACCTCTTGGGGGCTTCTGGAAGGCCACTTGGAGGGCTCTTGGAATACAGTGAAGGCTAGTCCACAAGAAACCTTCCACAAGAAACCCAACCCTGAGACCCCAGGACGTCCATCGATATTTGGCGTGTGAACGTCACGCTTTCCATGGCGAAACCATCGAACTCCCAAGAGACCCAGGGCACCCTCGAGGCGAGCAGGGTGTTTCTTGGCATGGGCCTCCTCTCTGCTCTCGGTGACATCTTGCGGCCCCTGGATGCTGTCTTTGTCTGCATGCTTGAGATCTGGACGGACCCTGTGCCGGCGGCCCTCTTGAGGGCGCCGTGGGGCCCTCCTGGAGACCCATGGGGCCGCCTCGGGCCTCTCGTGGGCCCGCCGTGGGGCTCTCGTGGGGCTCTCTTGAGGCCACCTCGCGGCCTGCAGAGTCCGTCGGGAGCAAAGTGGCGAGAAGGCGAGCATCGCTGGTCTTCGCCCAAGCGCTTGGGTCAGTCGGGCCTCTCTGGGGTCTGGGAGGCCCTCTCTCAGCGGGCGAAGGAAGGCACAAAATAAACTTTTTCGCTGTTGGGGGCGCCTGCCCCAGGGCGGCTGGGAAGTTTCTACCTGACGTGCCAGCGTAAGGGTATAAAACTTTCCAGCCGACCTGGGGCAGGCGCCGCCGACGGCGACGAAGCTTATTTTATACCGTTCTTCGCCCGTCAACTCTTGAGGTGTCTTGGGGGCACATCGGGCCGGCCTGCAGGCCGTCACGGCGTGTCCTGTCAGATCTCGTCGCGTCTTGTCTTGCCTTGGGTCGGGCATGTCCTCCTGCAGGCGGAGTTTGGACGAAAGATCAAAAGTTGTTTAAAACATACTCAGAAACTTTTTTAAACAAATAGAAGAATCGTCCCCAAACTATATGTTGACGATTCTTGGATATTCCTCCTGTACAGGGACCTGCCCGACTTAAGTGTTGCCGTGTTGCCTCGCCTCGTCTTGTCCTCGCATCGTCTGGCCGTCTGGCCGCCTGGGGCCACCCTGGAAGCCGCGCTGGAGGCTGGCCCGCGCCAACCTGCCCTAAGGGTCAGCTGGACGGGCTTGCCCGCCCTGGTGGGGCGCCAATCCTCAGGGCCTCTCCTGGACGGCCCTCCTCCTCCTCCTCCACAATTACTGAATATGACTACTACTCTCCCTCTTCCCCTGATGGCGTCCTGGGAGTAGTAGACCCCCCCCCTCGTACTGTTTTTAACACACAGGATTCCCGGGAGTTGGATTTTCGCCTGCACTTTTTTCAAAATGCTGCTCTCGCTGAGGCGCCGGCCTCATTTCTGCTCCCGAATCGTTCCGAATCGTGCTCCCGCTGCAGCGTGGGCCTCATTTTCGGATCGGTGTTTGGCCTCCGTCGTTCAGGATGGCGTTCTCGCCCCAGCGCGGGCCTCTTTCTCGCGCGCCCATCCGCCCGCCACCACCGCGCCGCACCGCCACCACCACCACCACCACCACCACCACCACCACCACCACCACCACCACACAACCACAACCACGCACACACGCACGCACGCACGCGCACCACCACCCACTACGCACGCGCGCGCGGAGCCACAGGTCCGCTACGACACGCGTCCGCGGATAGAGAAAATCAGCGCCATGGTAAGGGATGGGAGGGAGGGGTAGGACGTCAGATATGACGCGAGCGCCCTAGCTTGTCCTAATCCTCACTCCTCCTCCCTTCCTCCTCCTCCTCCTCTCCTCTCCTCCCTCCTCCTCCTCCTACTCCTCCTCCTCCCTCCCTCCTCTCCTACTCCACTCCTCCTCCTCTCCCCTCCCCTCATCCCCCCTCACCTCCCCTCTCCTCCTCCTCCTCCTCCTCCTCCTCCTCCTCCTCCTCCTCCTCAGGGCCTCTCCTGGACGGCGTTCTGACCAGGCCCTCGGGGCGGGTCTGGCCACGGCGACGAGGGCGCCCCGGGAGTCCAGAAAGGACGAACAAAAGGCGAGAAGACTCGACCTCCCAGACCCACGACGTCGTGATTTTGACATATCGTTCGGCCTCGTCGACGAGCACCCTCCTCCTCCTCCTCCTCCTCCTCCCCCTCCTCCTCCTCCTCCTCCGCCTCCTGCTCCTCCTTCTCCTCCTCCCCTCCGACGCCCAGCCTGAGTTGTTTTTTGATGACGCCGGGACCTGGTCCGGGCCCCCAGAGGCCGATCACCGCGGCCCACGCATCCCACAAGCCACCCGCTCACATGCCCTTCGGCCCCGGGCACGTCTCGACGCAGGGCTCGCTGGCCGTGCAGGCAGCTCTGGCAGACGGACGGGCAGAACAATGAAAGAGTGGAAAAGGAGGACGACAAGGAAGAGGAGGAGGAGGAGGAGGAGGAGGAGGAGGAGCGAGGGGGAAGAGGAGGACGACGACAAGGAAGAGGAGGAGGAGGAGGAGGAGGAGCGAGGGGAAGAGGAGGAGCGAGGGGATGAGGAGGAGGACGACAACTAGGAGGAGGAGGAGGAGGAGGAGGAGGAGGAGGAGGAGCGAGGGGGAAGAGGAAAAACACGGCGAGCAGACGCCAGCATGCAGGAGGAGGGGTGGCAGGCACAGGCAGCAGCAGGCCGAAAATTGTGAATACCTCCCGTCGTGACTTTCCCATGGCTCGAGGGGAGCTGACCTCCATGCTCGATCCCCCGCCCCCCAAAGAAGGACTCTGGACGGCCAGGGACAAAGAAAGGGTGCATGTCCTTCTACAGGCGGATTTTGGAAGAAAAATCAAAATTGCCTCTCTCACAAACACACACCTATATATATATATATATATATACACATACATATATATAGACACACCAAGGCACTAGAAAAATAATCGACAAATCGTCCGCTGACAATTTTCTCGCTATTCTTGAATTGTCTCCCTGTAGAAGGACATGCCCGACTTAGGGGCGGGACCTCAGGGCAGAAGAGCGAAAGACTCTGGGCGTGCCACCGGAAGGCTCCCCGGCACACCTCTCGATGCACCGTGGCCTTTCCGCCGCCATCTTGCGGTCCAGGGGCCCCTGCTAAGACAAAGCCAGGACGAGGATCAGATCGGGTAAGGATGAATCGAGAATCTGAGATCCGACGGCTCTGGAGGATTTATCAGGCGTCGCCGCCTCCTCAAAGCGTTCCGGAACGCTCTGAGAGCGCTCTGAGAACCCTCTGGAACGGATTCGTCCTCGGCCTAGCCACGCCCGACTGCTGCTCCGCAGGCGCGCCGGGGGGGTGCACAGCAGCAGGGAGCTCGAGGCCAAAGCCCCACACCTCTGCGCCTCCCGGGGGCTCTGCTGTCATGACCGCCCGATGGCCCAAAGAGCCGACGCTGCGAAGAGAAGAACCACACACGACGCCGCGGCGGAAACTGTGGCCAGAGCTCCAGATCACCACCTCGATGCGGGACTCGTGGAGCCCGCTCGACATCCACGAGGGGCTCCAAGGTTAGGGGTCCGGGGGTCTGCACGGGATGGGTCCCGAGGGAATCAGTCCCCAGACCCATCCCGGGGTCGAAACCGACCAGCTGTTCGAGCCGCGCCTGGCCGTGGCGACAAAGAGACAAAAGCGGCATAAGCATAAGTTTTTGGCGCTTCGCGCGAACTTCTTGGATCTGGCCTGGGCCCCGCTCCCTGGCGCGCGGAGCGCGCCAGGGGCGGCGCCGGCGACGTCGCCTGGGGGGCCCAGCGCGGATCCAAGAAATCCGCGCGGAGTGCCAAAAGTTTATGTTTACGCACTTTTTCTTCTTCGACCCCTCCCTGCTGGCCGGAGCTGGGGCCGGGCCACCTCAGCACCGGTAATTAGCCTCCGAGCAAATGGGGCCGGGGGACCACGCCGCATCGGCAATGCATCCGCGACGTCGGGGCTGAGAAAATCGGGCTCCGCACTGGGCTGCATCGGCGATGCATCGGCGATGCCTCGACCATGCATCGGCCATGCGTCGGCGATGCGGCTCGATCCTCCGACCCCATCTGCTCGGACCCCATCTGGGAGGCCTGGATCCCGGGGAGCCCCAAAGGGCACGAGAGGCCCAGGGAGAGGCCGCCAGAGGGACCAGGAGAAGCGGCCACCACGCCGGCTGGGCCGCGAAGGCTGGAGGCCTGCGCAACGGCACCAACACCAGCGCAAGGAGGCGCCTCCACCAGGGGAAGATGATCTTAGATTCTGTCGGGCGGGCGGGGGGGGTGACCTATATGGGGAGTGGCCTATAAGATAGGTGAAGAAAGGGGCCCTAAAGGGGCCCTGAAGGGGCCTCTGAGGGCTTTCTTGGAGCCAGCAGGAGCCCTCAAGGGGCCCGACCGGATCCATGTGGGGCACTCTCTTCACCCATCAACCCCATTACCACCCGCCCCATGCTGGTGCTGGTGGCAACGTTCTGGCCAACTGCGAGGCCCAAAGAGTACCACCACCACCGACACCGAGATCGGGATCGTCTGCCCTTGGTGGAGGCAACCCGCAAGTGTTAGTGCTGGTGCCCGCCTCTAGTCGGCGGCGAGCCCAGGGGGGGGAGTGTGAAGGAGCGGGCCTTCTCGGAAGGCTCGGAAGGCTCCGGGCCTTCTCCTTCTGAGAAGTCTTCTGACCCGAAGGCACAAAAATCCTCACAGGAGGCGCGATGGTTTCTGAGAGGCCCTGCCGCCTTCGGAGAAGACCTTCTCCTTTTCGCTTCCCCCCTCGCTCGCCGCCGAGTTTGGTCTTCGGGTCATAACTCGGGTTTCCGGCGGCCGTTCGGGACGATCCCAGCACCCCCCGAACGCCCTCGACGAGGCGCAGCTGTTGGCAAGCATCCCGAGGCTGGAAAATCGCAGAGAACCGACCAAAACGTCTGAAAACCTCGAACCTCGAACCTCGCACCCGAAAGTTTCCCCTCGCTCGCCACCGAATTTTGGGCCTCGAGGAAAGGCGCCACGCTCCTTCGGCATGGTGCCGCCGTGAGGCCGCCAGTTCTCCCAGTACGACGGGACGTCGAGGCTCGGCGGCTCGCCAGGGTCTGCCTTCCGGGCCCAGACCAGCTCGCCGTCCAGGCTCCTCTCCAGGAGCACGCGCCAACTATGCACATCTACTAAGTTACTACGGTGGAGGCCATTCCACAAGAAACCTTCCACAGGGAGCCCAACCCTGAGGCCCCAGGGCGTCCAGGGATTTTCGGTGTGGGAGCATCGCGCTTGCCACCACAAGACCGTCGAGACCCAGGAAACCCAGGGCACCCTGGAGGCGAGCAGGGTGTTTCTTGGCATGGGCCTCCACTGTATACACATCGGCTACGCGCAGGAGGGGCCCTGGGTAAGAAGTGGCCTCCGGTGCGCGGCTCCTTGGAGGCCGCGGGGGAACCTATAACACAAGCGCGCGGGCCGCTGCTACCGCATCGCGTTCCGCGATCGGAAGGCCTCATGGGTCGGGGATGGACAGAACCCACTTCAGTACAGTCGGGGCGTTGACCTAAGGAACCCTAAATAAGGAATGAGGCCCCTTTTTTCCATGGGTTAAACTTCAATTTCCCGTCGAAAACATACGGAAAACCTGAAGCAAGCTGTGAAACACGGAGCCCCTCCCCAACGAAAAAGGTTCCTTCTTCAGCGACCTGACTGTAGGACGTGGTTTAGTGAAAACGACCTCGGGCCCAAACCTGGCGGGCGCAGGCCTGGAAAATGACGGCCGCGGCGCCTTCTCGAGAACCGAAAACGGACAATTCACTCATCGACGTGTCAGGGTGGGGGTTCTGTCCGACCCCGACAAATGAGGGCGAGAACGCCTCAGCAGGAGGAGGAGGAAGAGAAAGAGGAGGAGGAGGAAGAGAATGAGGAGGAAAAGGAGGAGGAGGAGGACGACGAGGAGGAGGGGGCTCTGTCCATCCCCGAATGGGGCCCGCACCGAGGGTCCCTCCGGCGAGGGGTCACCCCTGCGCGTTGGCGAGTACGGCTGCACCGCTCCCGGCGGCCCCGCCCGCCCAGGACCCAGAGGATCGGTGCGCACGCACTCCTGGCTCCTCCTCCTCCTCCTCCTCCTCCTCCTCCTCCTCCTCCCTCCCCTCCTCCCCTCCTCGTCCTCCTCCTCATCCTCCTCCTCCTCTTCCCTCCACCTCCTCCTCCTCCTCCTCCTCCTCCTCCTCCTCCTCCTCCTCCTCCTCCTCCTCCTCCTCCTCCTCCTCCTCCTCCTCCTCCTGGGGGAAGTGAGAAAGGGAAGGTCTTCTCAGAACACGGCCGGACCTCTCAAGAACCCTCGCGCCTTCTGAGAAGTCTCCTCTGCGTCCTCGGGGAGGGCTCAGAAGACTTCTCAGAGAAGGCCTGCGAGCCTTCCGAGAAGGCCTTCTCCTTCTCGCTTCCCCCCCAGGCTCGCCGCCGAAGGGAGGCATCTGCGCTGGCCCTGGGCCCCGGAGCAGCCTGGCCAGGACCAGTGCGGGTGTACAGTTTTCGGTGGCAACGCACGGGAGCCCCCCACACCACTTTGCTGGATCTTGCGAATCGACGCTAATCGACGAAAGTCGACGCTTATCGACGCTGAATGGACGCTGATCGACGCTAAAGACGGAATTTGTTAGAGGCATCCTAGATGGGGTCTGAAAGATGGGGTCGGAGGATCGCGCCGCATCGCCGATACATCGACGCTACATCGCTGATGCGTCGGCGATCTATCGGCGACGTCGGCGGCGCCATCGGCACCCTCTGCGTGGAGAAAATCGGGCCCCACATCGAGCCGCATCCATCGCAGATGCATCGGCGATACGGCGCGATCCTCCAACCAAATTTACTCCGACCCATCTGGGAGGCCCAGATCCTAGGCCCCGGATTCGCCTGGCCAGGACGGGTGCGGGTGTATAGTTTTGGTGCCCTCGAGTCCTCAGGGATATCCAGCCCTGCTGGTCCCCGTATCTGATCTTCGCTCGCACGCGGTTGTCCTCGGCGCGGCGGGCGGCCGGGAGGAGGCAGGAAGGGGGGAAGAGGGGAGGAGGAGGAGGAGGAGGAGGAGGAGGAGGAGGAGGAGGAGGAAGGAGGAGGAGGGTGGAGGAGATGGACGAGGAGATGGACGAGGAAGAGGAGTAGGAGAAGGAGGAGAAGGAGCAAGGGGAGGAGGAGGGAGGAAGGAGGAGGAGGAAAAGGAGGAGGAGGAGGAGGAGGAGGAGGAGAAGGGGAAGTTCGAGAAGGGGGAGCAGAAGGATGGGCGCGGAGGGCGGCCCAAAGGAGGCAGGACGGAGGAGGAACGGAGGGAGAAGGGAGGGGCAGGCGAGGAGGGAGGAGGAGGAGGAGGAGGAGGGGAGGAGGAGAAGGAGGGGAGGAGGAGGGAGGAGGAGGAGGAAAGGCGGAGGGGAGGAGGAAGACGAGGAAGAGGAGTAGGAGGAGGAGGAGGAGGAGGAGGAGGAGGAGGAGGAGGAGGAGGAGGAGGAGGAGGAGTAGGCGAGGATAGGAGGAGGAGGGGAGGAGGAGGAGGAGGAGGAGGAGGAGGAGGAGGAGGAGGGGGAGGAGGAGGGGAAGAAGAGGAAGTTCGAGAAGGAGCGACAGGAGGAGGGCGCGGTGGGCAGCCCAGAGGAGGCAGGAGGGGGAGGAGAGAGGGGGCCGCTCCAGGAGGGGGAGGAGGGAGGAGGGAGGAGGAGGAGGAGGAGGAGGAGAGAGGGAGGAGGAGAGGAGGAAGAGGAGGCGGAGGAGGAGGAGGAGGAGGAGGAGGAGGAGGGAGGGGGAGGGGAAGAAGAGGTGGACGAGGACGAGGCGGAGGAGAGAGAAAGGGGAGGAGGGGGATGAGGAGGAGGATGAGGAGGAGGAGGAGGAGGAGAAGGAGGAGGAGGAAGAAGAGGAGGAGGAGGAGGAGGAAGGGGAGAAAGAGGAGGAGGAGGAGGAAGAGGAGGAGGAGGAGGAGGAGGGGGAAAAAGAAGGAAGAGAAGGAGAAGGAGGAGGAGGAGGAGGAAGAGGAGGAGGAGGAGCAAGAGGAGGAAGAGGAGGAGGAGGAGGTGCGCGACTCCAGAAGGAGGAGGAGAAGAGGGAGGTCCACAGCAACTATCCCTCCTCGATGGCACTCGTGGCTGCGAGCCGGCTGGCCCGCTCCGCGGCCAGCCGCTGCGCCTCGCGGCCAAGCTCCTCAGCCTGGCCGCGCGTGCGAAACCCGAATGCCTGTCAGGCATCGCACAGTGCCACTCTTGGGCACGGCGCGCCCCACCGAACAGGAGGGCCTAGGGGAGGCTCGGCGGTGCGGGCCACAGGGCCCCCTGCGGCGCCTTCCAATCCGAAATGGCTGGCCCAGGACGCCCGTACCGCCTCCGACGGGCTGCATGCCTCGTCGATGGCCGCATCCCACGCCCAGTGGGGGTGCATCCCACGGCCGACGCGGCTGCGTGCATTCTTTGCTCTCGGGGGTGGCCCACCGTCCCTGGGCGGACAGGGCGCTAAGAGCCCATGGCCCCGACCAGGGCACGTGGCGTGACTCCAACAAGTCGTGCAAACTAGCACTGCTGAGGACGCGCCCCGGGGTCCCCCCTCTGGGCATCGCCACTCGCGAATCTGGGCAGCAAAGAGGCTGTGCCCACGCACGCGCCAGGGACTAACCTGAGGCGGAGCGTCAGCGTGCGCCTCGGGATCCGAGCCCAGACGAGCGGCCGCGCCTGCTATCGCCGCCGGGGCCGAGCCAGCGCCTGCAGTATCAGCGCGCGATTCTCCTCGCGTTCCCCAAATCTCGCCCTGAGACCCCGACCACCCCTCCACCTCGAGCTCAACAGTGCGGAGGGCCTCGAGGCCTTGATGGTCGCGAGTGCCGGCTTCAGTCAGCACGGCCTCCATGCGCCCCGTGAATTGGGTGAGGAGCCGCGCAAGATGGAGGCAACCAAAAAGGAAAGCGCGCTCATCTTCGGCCAGCCGGCCTTCGGCCGCCCCAGCCTTTGCTAAGGCGTCGGCCGCGTGATTCCCGTCGCGCTGGCAAGCCGCGATTCGCCCCTCCACGACGTCGTTCCTCGTCGCGTGCGCGAGGACCTTAGGAAAGGTCACGTCATCGAGTGCATCGCCAGCAGCCGCCTGGCGCCACAGGTGGGCGCGGGGCTGGCCTGGCCCGCTGGCGCTCGCCAGGTTTTGCCCGCAGGCGACAGTGGCACTACAGTCCGAATGCAGCGTGTAGCGGCCGGCGGCGTGCCTTGACGCCATCAGGACAGCATAGTCCTCCCGGTCCCTGGCGGACTGGGACGGGCAAAGATTTCGGGACACCACCCCGCGCAGAGAGCCCAAGCAACAAAAATCGGCGTCGTAGGCAACCACGGCCCAACCAGCCACCCTCAAGGTGGGGAATTCAGCGTCGAAGCAAGCTCAATCGGTGAAAATGTGCCCGCCGTCGAGCATGAGTCCAGTCAGCGGCCAGCGGTCCAAGAGGAGGAGGAGGAGGAGGAGGAGGCGGAGGAGAAGAAGGAGGAGGGGGAGGGGGGAGAGGAGGACGGAGGAGGAGGAGGATGGAGGTGGAGGAGTAGGAAGGAGATGAGGAGGGGGAGGAAGGAGGAGGAGTAGGAGGAGTAGGGTGAAGGAGGATGAGGAGGAGGAGGAGGCGGAGGAGGAGGAGGCGGAGGAGGAGGGAGGAGGTGGAGGAGATGGACGAGGAGATGGACGAGGAGGAGTAGGAGAAGGAGGAGAAGGAGCAAGGGGAGGAGGAGGAGAAGGAGGAGAAGGAGGAGGAAAAGGAGGAGGAGGAGGAGGAGAAGGGGAAGTG